TCTGTTTGCTTACCATGTCTTAGATTCTCTCTCTCTCTCTTTAAATGAAATATATTGTCTTTTGATACAGGTATTATGATGATGAAGGTCAGAACTATTTCTATAGATGCTATTCTATACTGTCTCTGTAATGTGTCCTCATCCAAGTGGGCTTTCTGATACATATCAAGTCTTTCTTAAATTTTTTAAGCTGGGAGTACTTGAGATCTTCATCTGTAACTGGTCTGAACATTTAGGCACTGAGAAGAGCCTAGAGTTGAACTCCATTGCAAAAATAATCTGTTAGCTGATAGCACTGCCCACTTCTCATTTTCTTTTATGCTTTTTGTCCACTCAGAATTGAAGACTTGACTCAATCTAGCTTAAAGGGATATTATTTTTAGATTTTTAAGCTCATTATTATTCCAAAGAATTTTGGGAGCATGCCCACAGTCTCAGTTTTAAATGAGTGCAGTATTTTCAGCTTTTGGCTAATAAGATTGAGTCTAATGTATGTTTTGACAAAAATTAAGCTTATTACCAAAGTAAACATTTTACCAAAACACTTTTATTCAAAGTTATATCTTCTTCTTAGATGGTACTCCTCTCTTATCCAACAGTTTGATAAGCAGTATTATGATATTTTAGTTTGAACTGGTTACTTCTGTTCATAGGCCTCCTCAACTTTGTCATCATTACAGAAACACCTTTCTTTTCTTTACAGCTTAAGTCAGAAGCTGGACCATATCTGATCATCCCTAATACAGTTCATTCATGAATGTGCTCACTATAATACCCTGTGTCCAGATTTTAAAAGAATAACGAATGATCACTTACAATATTATCTCGGTACCTGCCTTCCTCCAGGGAAACCATGTTGAACTTATCTGCCTTCTTTTACAGCCAACAAACTGAAATGTGTTGAATGAAAAGCAAGATTTCCATTTGAGTATGTGTAAGAGGGTCTCAGTAGCTCAAAGGTATGGTGCAACAAGATAGCAGCATAGACTTGCAATACTTAATTTTTTAAGCGCACACCACTATTAACAATTGCATGAACATCTATCAATCACTTCAACTGAGTACCTGACCTTTCTGATGTGGCACACTGGAATAAAGAAGGTAATGAGCAAGATATGCCAAACATAACCCCACCACCAGTGTTTTTTAGAAGATTGATATAAATATGGCTTATCTATTATTTGTTTAAATTGGAAATATATCACAATTTTTAAAATTTATCTTCTTTAATATCCCCCAGGAAAACTTGTGGTTTTTCTCAGGCCAAAACCATACATTCCACATTTCATACCATGGTCAGAGTTAAATTGAATGAGGCACCAAAGATTTTCAAATATGATCCTTTTTAAGGTAATGTGTGAGAAGATGGCATGAGAAATTCTACCCTGGGAACACAGAGATCACCGCTAAGAGAGATAATGGTTCATAGACGCTAAACTGATACACATTTCATTGCAGTGTCTCACCCTGAAGCAAGACCTTAGGATTAGAGAGGGCTTGTCTTCAACTTCCAGGAATATCAAAAACAAGCTTGGAAGTCAGGTGAGCCAGTGGGGGTAGGGAGTTGCACAGAGATTTGCTAAAACCTTTGTTTCTGCTACAGCACATCAAAGGCTAAGACTGAAGGACTCAATTCCTATGTTTTTCCTCTAGTATAAAGGGTATGTAGAATATGTGGAATGTTCTTAATAAGTGAGGTTGACAAAGATAAGAAGAGATGCAAAAGACCTGAGGCAGAGCTATAGGAAAAGATACCAGACAGAAGAGATCCTGAGGGTCATCCATCTAAAGCCCCCGGGATCACCTCTAGTCACTGAGCCAATAGGCTCTCCATGAGGCTGCCTGTGAGAGAGCCAGGTCACTCCCTGGCTGAGGGTGGGGTAAACCACCAGGCTGTTGGGCTGTAGGATGGCTGTGGGAAACTGAGCAGGTTGCAGCCCTGAGGAAGCTGAGAGGTCAGATCACAGGCTCTGGAAACTTCAGATTTCACAAACTGCAGCCAGGAACCATCCAGGTAATAAAAGGAAAGAGGGTCTCTTTCCCAAGGATCACACTTCATCCTGTTGCACCATACTTTGAGCTACTGAGACCCTCTTACACATATCATCCACTGGGATGCATAAAGCCTTTTTGCAGTATTCATTCTAAAGCCATTTTACAGATGATAAGAGGAAGAGGAGGCCAGCCAAGAGACTACTGAAACCTACTGAAATGGAATTTTGAAATTTTCTGAAAATGGCTATTTATCACTTCAGATGGATGTTTGAATATATATTTAATATTTCCTTCCAGCTAACTAGTTGGAAGGGACTTAGAATAATGTTCAGATTGGTTAAAACCAAAATAAGAAAATGTTTTCTGTGCACATCTAAGTTTTGAGTTGTTTGCCACGTCACTATAACTTTTAAATAAATAAATAAAATAAATAAAAGACAAAAGCTCAGCTATCCTAATTATATTGAGATAATGTGCAGAACTATAAAGCTGCAAATTACAGGGCACCTGAAAGTATGTGAAGGCTCCCACCCCTACCCCCACTTTGGTTCTGGAACCACTGCTGTTGCCTGTTTGGAAAAAATGGTCTTTTCTACTCATTTTGCTGTGAAAAGAAAATTGCTCTAAAAAAAGTCTATTAAAAAAATACTCCTCTAGTGCCTTCTTAAATTATTCCAGGGATAGAAATGGCCATTACTGAACAAAGAATAAAATATGTCTTTCTTCTATGTGAAATCTGATTTTTCTATTTCTTTTACCCTTTGCCCTCTGGAACACCTTTAAGTGATGTCTTTCTTTCTCTTTCTCTCTCTCTCTCTCTTTTTTTTTCCCTTCCATTATCTCTCCCCGGGATGTATATCAGCAATTACTTAGACCCCACAACAAAGTCTGAGGTCTACTGAGGGCAGATAGTAATTTAATCTGTGAGAGACTGAGATATCATCTAGTTAGTCTGGTGACAACAGTGCCCTATAGAGAGGGCCGCCCAGTACACTGCTTTGTATTCACACTGACTCAAAGGCTCTTCTCCCTCTCTGAACTATCAGAGAGAACTATTTTCTTAATAAAAAAAAATAGTAACTTCAATCTTGGTAAAATTTCCAAAAGTAATCTGAAATATTCTTAAGTGAAACATTAGCAACCAAGCCAATGTGCCAATGTGTGTGTGTGTCTGTGTGTGTGTGTGTGTGTTTAATCCCTGAAACAGTAAAATTCAAATGGCAAAGTCAGAAAGTCACAACAACATAATACGTTTGTTTATTTAGTTACTATTACAGTGGTAACAAGTTAAGAGCTTGTTAGATTTGTATCCTCTTAAGAGGATAATGATTAAGGTTTTGATTTGTAAATGTCACTGTTGTTAACCATTAAAAATCTATTTTCCAAAGGACTAATAATATACATTATTATTAAGGGTCAGATCTAAATTTTCTGTTTTTTTGACCAAAAGCATATTTGTTCATTACTTTAAATAAAACATTAGGGACATTTTAACTCTTGGTTACTCCTTTCAGAAAAGCACTATGTTCTTGAAGGAAGTATACACAAAACATTTTTTTTCCATAATGATTTCAATCACTGTGTATCAGGTCAATGAAAGAACCTGAGAGCCTCAGATTTATTACCTCCTGATTGTTGTAATACACTCTGGCTTACTTAATCAATCAACAAACATGTATTTAATGCCTACTATGTACATGCCAGCATACTAAAGTTATACATGAAATACAAAGAAAAAGTATTCATTCTTGATCTGCTCAGGCTTCCAATGTAGTTGGTAGGATTAAACAGGCACAAATTACTCTACTTTCGATGTTTTCAAAAGAAATGACAATGTTAACTAGATTGCATGTTAGAATAACCTGTTCTGGAAACTAGAGGAAGCAGAGACATAAGAAGGGACATTCTCAGCACTAATTAAATCCTGTCTGAACCAGATTTCTCAGTTCCAGGTTTGAGTGCTTCTTGAATCCCCATATCTGAAAGTGTTCTAGCCAGCCCATACCTGTCACTGTTAATGGCTGTACTTGGCAATTGTTACATGGACTTACAACAATGCAACAAAATAAGCAAATTTATGTAAGTTTATATATATATAGAATATATATAGAATATATATATATATAAAATATATATATATATATATTCAAATCATATATAGGGTGATATTCAAGCTAGGAGTCCAGGACTTTCCACTCTATATAGGAGGAGACTAACTCACGTTATCATTTATTTATTATTATTATAAGACCTACAAGAGACTACATAAGGAAAATATGAAAAATAAATCTCCAAACTTCACTGGACACAGCAAAAATAAAGGCTGGAGGAAAGGACAAGAAAGGAAGGCCCAGCAAAGAGAGGTTTGAGGTGGCCTTAACGAGAAAAATTCCACCCCCACCCCCAGCCCCACCACTGCCTCCACCCACTCTCCCAGTGTCCTAGAGAAAAGGCCCTGGACTAGGTGAGTACAAAAAGGAAAGAAGACACATTTTCTAACACAAATAAATAAATAAATACATATGTTAAACAAGTAAATAACTTATTAGGCACCGCTTGAAAGGCAGCAACCCTCAGGGGCCAGGCAGGACGCACTCTCTAGTCTGCAGGAGATGGAACAGGGTCTGAATTGGTCAGACGCTCAGAAGGCTCCACCCAAAGTCCCGGAGCGGTGCCTGGGCTTTGGAATAAACAGGAGCTGGAGACGGCGTCTGTTGTTACTATTAGATCTGCACCTCCAGAAGTTTGGGTGAGGGAGAAAGCCTAGCGTAGCTGCAGCCATGCTCCTGGGAAGCGGAGGGCAAAAGCGCGCTCCGTCCTGCTTGGCCCAACGCAGGCCAGTGTCCTGCCAGTGCGCAGTACTTGGTGGTTTAAACCAAAAGTGCCGGTTGTGAGCCGGGCGGGGAGATGGCCTCCATTACAACCTCTCCCCACAGGCTAAACCCCTGAATCTTCTAAAAAAAAAAAAAAAAAACCCTCGATCGCTTGTTCTCAGTTCCTTTTTGCTCCATATAGAGTTTGGATGAGGAACTGCAGAATGCCTGGGGTTCGAGGTGCGGGACCGATTTTACTAAGCACCTGGCTCCGCTTGGGATGGAGTGGAAATGGTTGGAAGGGCTCGGGGAAGGGCGCGTCTTCAACCGAGAACAGGAGAAAAGACCAGCTGCCGAGTTCATTCTCAAGCCTGATTTTCCTTGAAGTAGGGCTGCGCTAAGGAAGCGCAGCGCGATGGTTCTCGACACTCCGCTAGAGGCACCAGACAGAATCTAGCGTGCGGAGGAGCGCGGTAGGGCGGGGCTGAGGGCGAGATCGGGACTCACCCCGAGGGAAACCGCGTGGGTAACAGTGGCTCAGCTTAAACAAACAGAAATAACTGCCGGCGGGGCTGAGGGACAAGCTGAGTTGGCGACGTTAATGAGTTCCAGATCTGCACCAGCAGGACAGGGCTGAAGGAAAGATCAAAGTTACAGAGTGGGGAGCAGAGAATGGTACACAAGTTTAAGTGCAGTGGAGGAAGGAGAGAAAGTGGAAGACAGAGGAGAAAGGAGTCCGCAAGCTTTTCCAGTTTACAAACAAAGAGCCCAATTCCACCTTTGTCGCGCGCCTTTCCCAGGTCTCTCCACTCGAAGCGCATCGCACCCCGACGCCTGGGATACTTCAACCTCTCGTACCCGGCCTCCCTTTTTCCTCCTCCTCTTCCTTCCTTGGCGCAGGGCCCCGGCGTGGCAAGTTCAAAGAGTCGTGATCCTGGACGTGCAAGTGCCATTACGAAACATGCCGCCAGACTCCAGATTCTCGGGCTGGAAGTCCTCCACGCTGTAGGCGCGACTTTTGAGGGCGGTGGCATAGTAGTCGACCGGCTCCTCGGCAGCATTGTCCATCCAGCTGAGGCACAGGATGCGCTGGAAAGAGCGCTTGAAGTTGTCCGAAAGGAAGCCGTAGAGAATGGGATTGGCGCAGCTGTTGGCGTAGCCAAGTATGACCGACAGCTGGCTCACCGTGGCGTCGTCCTGCTCTGCAAACACGTTGACCAGCTGCACCACATAGAAAGGCATCCAGCAGATGACAAACACCATCACCACCATCATCACCATCAGAGTGATCTTGCGCTCCGAGCGCTTGCGCTGCTGCCAGCCGGCCTTGAGGGCCACCATGCGCATTTTGGCGATGATGAGCACGTAGCACAAACAGATGGCCCCGACAGGCAGCAGGAAGCCCATGAGAAATGTGTACAACACGAAGCCCACCAGCCAGCGCTGGGCAGGCTCGGGCATGAGCATGTTGCAGGCCACCGTGCCGTCACTGTTGGCCGCCGTGCGCGAGAAGACCACGATGGGCAGAATGACAAGCAGCGATAGCACCCATACGCCCAGATTCACCACCTTGGCTACGGTGGGCCGGCGGTAGCGTGCTGCCTTGATGGGGTGCACCACGGCCACGTAGCGGTCCACGCTCAGCACCGTCAGACAGTAGATGCTGGTGAACATGTTGACTGCGTCCACGCTGAGCACGAGGCGGCAGAGCAGCGCGCCGAAGGGCCAGTGGCGAAGTAACGTGGAGGTGACGAGGAAGGGCACGCTGAGCATGAGCAGCTCATCGGCGATGGCCAGGTTGAGGATGTAGATGTTGGTGGCCGTCTTCATCTTGGCGTAGCGCAGGATCACATAGATGACCATAGAGTTCCCACACAACCCCACCAGGCACACCACGGAATAGATGAAAGAGATGAGGATGGCGCTGCCCTGGCCCTCGCTCAAGGTCCCGTTCTGGGACGCATTTCGCCCTGGCTCCTCCATGCCGTCCGCGGCTCCGGCCCCGGCGCCCCTGCTGCCGCCTTCGCCGCAGCTTCCTGGGCTGGGGCTAGGGGAAGAAGGAGAGGAGGCGGTGCCATTGGGGAACATCCCAGCTGATGGGGGCCGATGGGCCTTCCGGGGCTGGGGCGCTCTTCTCACGCCCCTGCCGCTTGCGCCCTCACTCGGCGTCCGCGCCACCCGCCCGCAGCTCACCGCCGCCGACTGCCTGGGGGTAGCGCGCAGCAGCCGCGGGATGCGCGGCTCCGACCGGCGCCGCCGGGGCGCATAGCCCAGAGGCCGCCTGCGCGCAGCCGCCTGCCTCTCCGGGGCGCCAGGGCACACGCGAGCGTGGAGAGGGGAGGCCGGGAGGCTGGAGCCCCGCGCGGCACAGCCATTAACCGGCGCGTCTCTGGGCTAGTGAATGATTAATAGGCACCACCAGCGCGTCAGCAGCTACGAAAAGGGAGGGGTTAGGGGGGCGAGAAAGAGGGAGGAAGGCGATGAAGGTGGCTTATCACCCCTCGCCCAATGCTTTTCCTTCCCAGTCCTGGGCTCGGAAAACTCGGTTCCCCTGCAGCACCCTTTACCCGTCCCTCAGGGGGACCTGGGGAGTTTCTCCGCCTCCCTGGAAGGTGGGTGGGAACCTAACGTGTTGATTCTGTCCCGTCCCACCCGGCTCCTATCCAAAGCAAAGACTGAAGCAGCCCCCAGGCACAGATGTCTGGAGTTCATCTCAGTTTCCCTCAATTGCTGCCGCGTCCTGAGGGACCGCACGCCACTCGCGTCCAGACGTCCGGGGCCCTAAGCCCCCACCTCCCGCCCCTGCTTGTCCTGCGAGTCAGCCCCGCCGCGAAAGCTCGCCGTCCTCCTTACCGGAGCGCGCTGCCTCCAGCCCGACGCGTAGCTGCCCGGTGCCAAGTGCGGAGGGTCTGGCAGCGCGGTGACGTTCTTCGCGCGGTACAACTCCTTTCTTTGCGCCGGACCCCAGCACAGACGCCCACGCAGATACTGTTAAGGGCCGCGGAAACAGACCCTAATTCGAGAGCGTTAGCAGGAGGAAGGACAACAACTGTGCAGGAGGGCCTCCTGCGTTACAGCTCCGCAGGCAGCCCTTCGCGGGAGCGAGCGTTCAGGGGCCTGAGCAGACCGTTGTGAATCTCTTAATACAGCTTGTAGTGCCCAGAGCCCCCTGCCTCTCCCAGAGGAATATCAACTGCATTTTGAAAGGAGGCCGCTCGGCTGGACGCACAGAAGGAGACTGAGGCTCCCTTGCGAACGTGCCAGGCGAGGTATTGGAAATCCATCTAGGTGTTCACCGGGACAAGATACGGCTGCGCCGCTTGGAAGGCTCCGCCTGCGTCCCTGCTGTACTTTGTACCCGGGAGACTTGGCGGTGCCCGGGGGAGGGGAGTGTAAAGGTCTGGGTGAGCAGGGATGCCACGCGGGGCTGGCCGTGCCGGTGACCGAACGGGTCACCAATCTCTAGAATGCAGGACGACCTGTAAGTCTCCTGGTTTTAAAACTAGGTTTTCAGCCTTTCTGAGGCCCCTAGACGTGTGACCCAGCTCTAGTCCACGTAACTAAACTTTTGAGACACATAAATCGATGTAGGCACGCCTAAAGTGTGCGATTTCATTTAGGAATCGAAAGGGTTCTGTGTAGAAAAAGAACGCAAGCTCAATTACATGATTTTCAGCGACTTCTGGGACTTCCCTGAATCCCTGGCCTGCGGGTCCTTTGGCATTTCAGTCCAAGGAAAAATCGCTCCATCCAGCTTCCTTACTCATTTTCCAGATCCCTTCAAGTTTTTATCTGAAACGTGAAGGTTCCCAGGAAGACTGACCAGCAGCAGCCTTTCTCAAGCTTTAGGTCTGTCTCCAGCTTCTCCTTAGTTTGTCATTCCTCTCAACCAGGCAGCACCCACTGTTCTGTGACTCTCAGCTTTCCCTCTTGTCAGTACAGTTTACATTAAGAAGAGGTAAACTAAACATAAACTAAACTGCTCATAAAGGCTATTTGTGCAGACAGTCCAGAATGGATGCTAAAACTGAAAAACAAAAAAAAGGTGGGGGGGAGTATGGTTTTAAATTCCTATTGACCCCTTGCTTTATCTGGTAACATCTGCATACATGTGTTTTAGTTGGCAAAACGAAGTGCTCCTGCAAGGAAGAGAATAACTTTGTAGTGTGTTAATTACAGCAATCAGAGATAAAATAAATGATGACAGACTCATAGCAATGTGTGCAATGGACGATAAATTTATGAGAAATGTGCTGGCCAGAATCTGAAATTTCCTAAGGCCCAAGGTGTTTAACCCATTGCTTTATCTAAACAAATTACCTTTAATTTTTTACTAAAGTGAGGTATAGAATTCGTGATTAGTTGTATTTCATTTTCTTTCAAAATACAGCACATATGGAGAAAAAAAGTTTCTATCAGATTTTTTTTAATGCCTTTTTTTCCCCCCAGAAGAGCTTTCTACTAGCCAAGCCTTAAGTTTAGGTGCCTCTTTGGCAATCATGGGCTAAAGACACCTCGCTATTCCTCAGCGGCTGAACACTTCAACAGTCACCATTTAGATGTCCTGGTATTGATCATGGTTGCTCCAGGATGACTGGGAGCAGGGAAAGTGGCTCGGTTCTCCAGAATCTAACATGTTCACTTTGCACTTCATCTTAGGGAAATCTCTCAATTTAGTGGTAGCCTCATATACAAAAAAAGAAAACTTAAGACCTGATGTAAGCATCCTTTTTTTGTTCCTAAAGTGTTTCCTATGATGAATTATTTATCCATAAAAAGAGGTTGACAATGACATCCCACTTAACACCCACTAAAAAGGCTATAATATTTTTTTCTAAAAAAAGGAAAATAACAAAGGTTGGTGAGCATGTGGAGAAATTGAAATATTTGTGTGTTGCTGGTGGGAATAAAAAATGATGCAGCAGTTTAGAATTCTTGATGATTCCTCAAAAAGTTAAACATAGAATTGCCATATGACCCAGCAGCATATATACATATATATATTCCACTCCTGCACGTTTAGCCCCCAAAATTGACAACAGGTGTTTTAACAAAAACCTGTACATGGATGTTCATAGCAGCACTATTCAGAATAGCCCAAAAGTCAGACAACTCCAATATCCATCAACTGATGAATAGATAAACAAAATGTGCCATATCCTCATAACAGAGTATTCATCCATAAAGGGGAATGAAGTAGCTGCCCATGCTACAACATAGATGAACCTTGAAAATCTTATGCAAAGTTAAAGAAGCCAGACACAAAATGTTACATATTGCATGATTCCATTTATATGAAATGTCCAGAGCAGGCAAATCCATGGAGACAAAGCAGATTAGAGGTTGGTAGGAGTTGAGGGGGAGAAGGATGGGGAATGACTGCTGAGTGGGTATGGAGCTTCGTTTTTGGGTTATGAAAATGTTCTGGAATAAGACAATAGTGGTGTGGTAGTTGCACAACATTGTGATGTACTAAAAGCCAGTGAATTGTATACATTAAAATGGTTAAAATTATGAATTGTATGTCATATGGATTTTAATTCAGTAAAAAGAGAGATTGAGAGGGATATGAGCCTTGCAGTATTATCAAATCTTTTTGGTCACTTGTTGTTTAACACTATATCCATGAACTAATCCATGAACAAACAAAAACAATCAAGCAAAAGGTAGTATTTCTGGGATAAACAACATGAAATTGAGGGTACACCTATTTTTGAATTATGTTAAGAGCAGGAGCCCAGTTAAGAATCTACCTTCCTGTCAGATCTCAATTTAATATAAACATTTTCTAATGAAACAGGAACACTAAAGTCAGCTTGCAATTGTTAAAATTTGTAAAGAACAGAGCTTATGGGAAGTCAGGACTCTACAGTCTTCATGTCTTATTTAAAAACTGCTTTTTGTTTTTTTGTTTTTTTTAATTCAACAGGTCTAAAGCCTTGAAAGACTTAAGGTAAGTTTGTTTTCTCCCTAACAGTTTCTGTCCTCCAGCGCTCCCTTCTTTGGTTACTCTTTCCTGTCCCTTTGTGATATGAATATTTTCAGATATGAGAGAAGAAAGAAGATGGCTTCTAAGAGGAGAGAATGAAAAGTCATAATTTAAGAAGTTACAGATTCTCAAGCAGACTGGTTTTCTTTCTCTATCTCAATTCTCACACTTTCCTGTGCTGTCAGGTACCAGGTGCACATTTTGATTACTGTATTTATTATACCATGCTGTGAATTTTTTTTTGTATACTTACTGTCCCCTCTCTAAGAATGAGAGCTACATTCATTTATCTTTATATCCCCTGCACCCAGCACTGTTTCTTGAAAACTGCCCAACACTTTGTTTTATTTTTCTAAGGCATCCCTTCTTTTTTCTTGCCCATGAGAAATAATTGCAAAGAAGTGAACTTTGGGCCTCTTGCAAGAAAAACTTTAATATCTGTGTAATTTCATCATCTGCAATAATTCCTTACACATTTAAATCATTCTGAATAATTCCATTTGCATGCCCAATATCAACAATTATCATGTTGATGACTCATTCATTGATCACTTTTGGTTTTAAATTTCTTGACAGAGAAAAGGCTCTGGAAAATGGGTAGTACATGCTTAGTAGCTAATGATGGTCATTGAATAGTATCATGCCATGTGAAAACTATTATATGTGGAAGATCATTTCCTTTTCATTGCAGCCCTGACTCTTGGTTTGGTGGAATAGTAATTATCAGGGGCTCAAATTCGCCTCCGTCAAAATTATTACCTAACATGGTTTTTCCAGTTGCAGCCTTTGTTGAGCCTCAAAAGAGCTCCTCTAATCCATGTCAGTGGTAAAGGGTGTTGGTGTGTACAAACCCCTGTCTGGGCAGATGGAGACCAAGCTGGCTATATGGGGTGAACCCCACTCAGCAATACTGCCCACAGCACAGGTAGGGACACTGAAGGACCATCTGCCACTAAGCAGCCAACGTGATGACAGTTGAATAGGAAAGTTACCAGAGTGCCAAAGTGGCTGTATGACTGAGGGACAATCCTGGACCTCATTTCCCAAGGGTGTCCTATTGCTCCACAGAAGCTCCGCAGATAGCCTGTGGTTCAGTTCAACAGTCTCAGCAGACTTGCCCTGGTCTGCTGATTTTCCTATTGCCTCTTCTGTGAAACAGCATGACAGAGTCCTTTTTGTGCTTTTGAAAAAGACA